CCGCCCCCCTGGTGGGCTGAGCTGGCCACACACACACACACACACACACACACATAAATAAAATTTAAAAAAAAGTAGACTCATTGTATAAGGAACAGATACTTCATGTTTAAAATTCACAAACACAAATTGCTTCAGTTTACCGTCTTTATCTTTTGGAATTTTTACCTTTATTATTGGCCCAGTCTGGTGGAACAACATAGAAGGCAGTACTTCTGTCACTTTAGTTTCAAGGTTGCCCATAAAAAGTGTGGTTAGCTTCTGCTGCCACTGCCCCCATCTCAACATCGCCCACTCCAGACCTACCCATCCTGTTTCCATTTTTTAAAAAACTGAATTACATTAGTTGGATCTCTTTTTAAATGTTAGGTATTTATAAGCAGTGTGTGCAGATTATTATTTGATATCTTTTTGAGGTGCAAGGGATTAAACCTACAATCTTGTGCATGCTAGGCAAATAGTCTGCTGGTTATCTATGTAACTAGCCATGATTTTTAAGGTGAGCTGCATTTACTTGTCTCATTTTTCACATTTCTTTGTATTCTGTTTTTTATAGTTGCTTCCGTAAGAAATATTTGTGGTAGCTTGGTCCTCAAGAATTTCCTAAAAGGTAAGACATTAGCGAACTACTATGATACTAAATCTCTTTCAGCAATGAATTTGGTATTTTCTAAAATAGACTTATACTGAAAGATATAGCTGACAGACAATAAAAATTCAGGATGCCTAAGTAAATTTGAATTTGATATAAACAATTTTTTTTTTAGTGTATGTCTCATGAAATGCTTTAGCTTGCATTTAATCTGGCAACTCTACTGAAGGATGATTTATAAAGATCTGTAGAAGTAGAAATAGGTAAGATACCTATGTCACTGTCCTCTGAATAAACCTCAAGCAAAAAGCTTTCCAGCTATAAGATAAAAATTTTAGTAAAGTATTTGTTTTTATCTACTTGAAAGAAAAAACACATGACAAATGCTTTTAGTATAATTTTTACTAGTAGCAATACAGTTTTTCACATAATCTGCTGAAGTTGGTATGGTTTAGGAGTTTTAGGTATGAAGTATTGCTTCTTATCTTTGGTTAAGAATAATCTACAAGCCAAAAGAACATAACATTTCTTTTGTGTTGTATTTGAGAATTGTGCTTTCATTTTTACCTTTTGTAGTTGTTTGGTTTGTAAGTGTCCAATGCACCTATCTTTTCCTGATGAGTTAATTTGCAGATTTTACAAGATAAACTTTTATTGTACAGCTTTTTGTTGCTGGAATAAAATACCCAACATACACAACTGAAGGAAAAAGGGTTTAGTTAAGTTTATTTAAGTTTCAGAGTTTTCAGTCTCTGGTCAGCTGGTTCTGAGGCAGAAACATCATGGTGGAAGAAGAGAGCATAGAAAAGCTGCCAACCACATGGCAGCAGAACACAGGGGAAGACGTAGAGAAGAAGACACCAGGCACCATATATAGTCCCCAAGGTCATACCCCCATGACTCACCCCGATACACCCAAAAATGTGCTTTAGTTATAGGTATCTCTTAAGTTAATAAAGTTGATAACCAAGGTTAACGATCACAAAATTTTTTTTTTTTCTCCGAATGCCTTCAGGGCAGGTTTGGCCAGCTTGTGTTGTGGGGATCGAACCATAGCAACCTGAGCCTGACTGCTTTGTTGAAGCAGCCACTTAAAGAACTGAGCTAAGGGGCAGGCCCCCACACATTTTT